AATTTCTCAAAGCCCTACTGAGAAAGGAAGGTCACTAATCCAGCCCTAATGAGAAGGGAGGGTCAGTACTGCACACCACAGTTCAGTAAGACAACAGGAGTAGGCAAAACTAGGGAAAAATACTGCTCACAGCAGCTAGGACTGAGGGGGGAATCTACAAATTACTGAAAAGTAAAAAACAGGTGAAGGCTGAGCATAATCAGGAGCCTACCTTTCCTGAAGCTGTGACCTTTCCCAGCTTCAGGAAGGACCCTCTTTCTGCCTCTGGAGGTGAGCTCTAGCGAGCAGTGGTCCGCAAAGTATGATGGTTCACAGACCCTGAGGGAACCCCAGGACCCTCTTGGCAGCTCTGCCAGGCGAACCTGTATTCATAACTTAGAGGTGGTTTCCCTTTTTCACCAGGCTGCTCTTTGCAGTGATGGTGCAAAAGCAACGGTGGGTAAAGTGGCTGGCACCCAGTTATATCCTTCATCACCACATACTTCTTCACCACGCAGCGATAAGTACCAGCTTTACCTGAGAATGTCCTGGGTGACGCAGTAAAAAGGACTAAGTGTCAGTCCTCAAGTATGCCTTCTTAATAGTCTGTGTGGCAAAACAAGCACACACAACACGTAAGAGGCATACAGAAGATGACGATGTCTCAGTAAAGCATCGTCTGAGCTGCACAAAGCTTCTGCAGAGCACGTGCTTACTTGAAAGACCAAACAGCACACAAGTGGTGGGTTGGTCAGATGTTGGTACTTTGGCAGGTATTTTCGGAAGGGGGGAGGCGGGTACCCAAATCCCATCACATCAAGGAAAACAACAGACAGTATTTCTTGCCAGTAATAATGTTTGAGCTTCCAAGAGAAAATCAGAATTCCGGCAAACTTGTCTCTGCCACCATGAGCTTGACCACTTCCCGATACTTAACCACTTTTCTAAGGAGCATGGTGGCAATATGATTTTTCAATACTGTGTAATAAAATGCAACATTTGGAAGACCTGCATAACTCAGGGAATCAGTAGTTTCCAAATACCTATCACACAATGTTACAGAGTCACACATGTGTAAAAGATCAGGTCAAAGTGAGAGACCATTGGAGAAGCTCAGATCTTAAGCAGTTGGGCCAGCTGATCTGTGGGGCGATGGAGAGGATTTAGGCTGCACACCTAGGCTTTCAAGCCACCGCCACCATGGCCTGTCTGTCAGTCACAGGGCATCCAGCAGCTACTGCAGGCGGAGAAGGCATCCGAGGCCCGCAGGCTAGAGAACTGGAGGCTGAAGCAGACCAAAAAAGAGGTGCAAGCTTAAATTGAGCAGTACTGCCTGCAGAGGGAGAAGGAGTTCAAGGCCAAGGAAGCTGCGGCTCTGGGATTCCCACAGCAGTTGCAGCACTGAAGTGGAAGGACACCAGGGAGAAGATGGCCTATTTCCAGCAAAACAGGGATGAAGTCCTGGATAACCTCTTGGCCCTTGTCTGAGACATCCAGCCAGAAATCCATGAAAACTACCACATAAATGGATAGGAGAGGAAAGAGCACCTGTTCCACGGACTGGCATTCTGCATGCCTCCATAGAATATGAAGCGCTTGCAAAGCTTGAGTTATATTGTTGTGGAAAGGCATGAAATTATTTCTATGTATTATATAGTAGGTCCTTTTACTTTCTGAGAATAGCAAACCTAAAGCTTGTACAAACTTAGAACTTATCCAAAGATTTCATCTTTTTACCTCATATTTCTTAGGAATTCAATGGGCGTACATTATCTGCTTTTTCTATGCCTTTTAGCCCAAACAATATATATATATAAGTACTAATTTTTCTTAGATATAGTAAGAAACATTTCTTTTAAAGAAAGAAAGGGATTAAATATATGTATTTTTTCCCCTAAAGCTTTCTGGAAGGGGCCTTATCTGTGAAAAAGTAGTAAAGTAGTTGTTCGTAACCTGTGTAAAGCAGCAACCAGCCTTAAAATAGTCCTTTCTGGCCAAGGTTAGAACAATGAATTCTAGTTTAATTGTTAGAGCTGCTTTCAGTAACTCTTAATCAAAAGTACGAGATGAAAGAATTTAAGAACTGTTACATGCTATTACTTGGTATACTGATAGTCATTTAAGAGTGAAGACTCTTTGTCATGCAAAAAAAAAAAGACCAATGGACTTTACTGTAACAAATTATGAAGTTAACTGCTATCATTTCAGATTCCACATCGCAACTAACTTTCACAAAACCACCGTTTGTTACTTTTTGTGTAGTACCAAAGAAGAATAACCACAATTATCTGAAAAGGCTATAGCTATACCCCTCCTTTTGTCAACTAAATTATCTGTGTGGGGGTGGATTTTCTTTATAATTCAACCAAAACAACATATTACAACCAACTGAATGTAGAAACAGATACAAAAATCCAGTTGTCTTCTATTAAGGCAGCTTCTCACTAATCTTTTGAAATGATAGTATTTTTCATTTAAAAAATGCTACTTTGCCCTGACCAGTCTGTTTGGTTGGACATTGTTCTATGAAGCAAAAGCTTGCTGACTTGATACCCAGTCGGGGCACAAGCCTAGGTTGCAGGTTCAGTCCCCCGTACAAGAGGCAACTGACTGATGTTTCTTCCCCTCTCTCCCTCCCTTCCTCTCTCTCTCTGAAAATAAATAAATAAGTACATAAAATATTTTAAAATGCAACTTATATTAACTTGTAATGAATTACTTCTAAATGAATTAATAAATATTCTTATTATGGTGAATATCAAGATATATACATAATTCCACATTAAAAATATATATATTTAAGACCCTGAAGAGCTTATGAAGTGCAAAAATCTGGACCAAAACTCTGGACACCTCTGGTCATGAATACCACTGCCTGTCCAGGATATATGAATAAATGAGGGCACCTAAGGACAAGGTCCTTTGTATTTTGGGTCCTAGAGAAATTAGTACTCTCAGTATTTGTTGCAAAATGCCAACTCTAGCTTCCAAGTTCTGCCAGAAGAGAGAGTGAGAAGTCAGGTCATTATAGAAAAATTTTCTCTATATTTCACTGACAGATCAAAGCATCTGATCCTATGCTAAAATCCAGGAAGCCAATCAGACAATTCCAAGGTCATAAAGGAATCTAGTGGGGCAGCTAAACTTGCCTCCAGATTACGAGTATCAGATCCTGAACTTAAGGATTCATTGACATACAGTCTTCAACAAAAAACTTCTCACTTGCATGTTCATTTTTATATTTGGTCCTAAATTTTCTACTTCCTTCTTCCATCCTTTTCCTCTACCCATGCTTTCAACGTTGATGTTCCTCTGAGCTCAGTCTTCTCATTTTGCCTGGCACATTTAAGTAAGCACTCAATAAATAGCAGCTGTAATTATTACCACAAACTCTCCCACGGCATTCTTAACTTTCCACTTCCTGCGTTCTTAACTTTCCATCATCACCCAGACCTCTGTCATGAGCTCCAAACCTGCAGAGTGACCTCCTGGGTCTTTCCACCTAGATGTGCGGCAGGGACTTCAACTCAACAGGTCCAGAGTATAACTGTTGTATCTTTCTCCTCAAAGTTAAGTTAAATAAATAAGATAATTAAAACTTATTTTACCAAAGCAAGGCATGCAATTACAGTTTATTTCAATTACAGTGAATCCTTAACTTAGTTCTTTTTTAGAAAAAGTTTAGTATTTTCTTCCTCCTCTTCACAAAAAATTTTTTTTAATTTATGATGAAAAATTTTAGAATTCGACTTTAAGATATGCAATACATGGTTTTAAAAATTCTTTTGGGGGTGCATGAATAAACCATTTAAAAGAGTATGTTGTAGGAAAACCACAGGCAATTACAGGAAAGTAGCATTAGATTTGTGACCGAGATCACTGTAGTGTAGTGTAAAGTATATGGGTTGAATAGGAAGGATTTTAGCCTGCAGGCTGGGAGCTAATGAGCAAACTGTAGAAAGGCTAGAGATGAGGAATTTATGATGGTTGCAATGGGAATGGACAGGATTTAGAGAAAAGTTAAGGATGACAGGGTGATCAGACCTGGTGGCAGAGTAGATGTAGGGAGAATAAGACAGGAGCAGTCTGGAATGATCTGTCTGATTTCAGTGACAGGTGGGTGTTGATGAAGAAGGAACTATAGGGACAAGAGGAGCTTGTTGATTGGCTAAATCAACAGGTGCTGAAGTTAAGGAAGATGTCTTTCGGAATATCTGAGGGATGAGTGCATAAAGAAGGGAAGATTAAAACATTTCTTAGATCCAGAATAGAATTGTGAAGACCAGAGAGTGGGGATACTGGTGTTCCAAATGAGTCTGAGTTAAACATCTTCCTAATGTTCCAACAGAGCACACACCACACAGTATAGCGAATGCTTGTTTAACTGATTAAAATCTCCCCTAGACTACAAGCTCTGTGAACACACCTGTCCTGTTCACCACTGTATCTTCCCAGCGCCTTCCATGGTGGCCTGGCTCATTAAATATATTAATTAAATGAAGGGATGATGGCTGGATAAACGAAGAGTTAAATTCCACAGGACTTCAAATGCTGTTTTAATCTCTTTGGCTTAGGAAAGTATTTTTCTATAGATACTGAAGGTGGGGAAGTAACAAAAGTGGGTATCCATAATCAGTTCAGCCATGAAGACTGAGAGGAGCTTGGGCTCACACCCAAGGAAGAATTTAAACCGCAGAGCGGCGGGAAAGAGAAGGCACGGAGGCCTAGGGTAAGGGTACACTGCAGGGTTCGGGTACCGAGAGGCGGGGTGGACTAAGTTCACCGGCGCGGTGGCGGGGGACACGGGTTCCGACGAGGCGCGAAGTCCTAGCTAGTGGAAGGGCGAGGGCCCCTGGCCTACTAGGGGATGGAGAGGTGGCGGGCAAGAGAGGGACTGGGGCGGAAGGGGCCAGAGGGCTGGGGACTTGCGTGAAACGACCCTGGCGGAGGGAGTGGAGGGAGAGTTGGGCCGGTGGAAGGTCCTGCCGGTCCTCCTCGCAGCGGTCGGCAGCCGCACTCACCTAGCGGACCCAGCTTCGCCCGGGCAGGGCGCCGGCTCCGGGTTGCTTCCTCCCCTGGCCTGCTGGGCTAGCAGGCGGGCTCAGGCGCCCCTAGCAACCACGCACTGCTACGCGACCCGCGCTCTCAGCCGCCAGCGCCGCTACCGCCTGCCACGCGCTGCGCGCGCCCCCAGTGGCCAGACCAAGGGCCTGGAAGGGGAGATCTTGGCGGGCGGGAGGTGTAAACGCGGGGAATCTCGGAGATTGTGGGAGACCGCCCTGCCTTGCGCACGCGCAGACGCTTCAGTGCGGTGGTACTGGGCAGCCGGCACTCTGGGAGACGTAGTCCGGAGATTAAATCCCCGAAAATGCTCTCTTCAAGATTCTTTCTCCCTATCATGGTTCCACCCAACCCGTTTGCACTTTCTTTAGCCATGCCTTAATTCGCTCTTCTGATATCAGATATCTCGGGCTTTATTAAAGGATTTTCTCAATAGTTCTTTCAAGCTGAAGGCTTTGAGTTTGATCCCAGGGAAAGGGAGATTGGCAGATTCACTATTTCCCTTCAACCAAACGTCCCCTAACTCCAAACAACCCAGCAGGTACAACTACGAACACCTGTTTTCTGGGCTTCAGGTGTGAACTTTAGGAAACAATACCTACCTTAAGACAAGGCCTGTGGGCCGAATCCGGCCCTTCACCTTGTTTCTACCAGGCAGCAGCGCTGAGCTCCTTGCCCTAGTTAAGGAGTAGTTATACTTTTACAGTCCTAAAAATACATTCTGCACTTTGAAGGCAGCTCTCAGGCTGACGTGGTGGGGCTGGGCGGTGAAAATGAGTTTGACATCCTTATCTCCTCAAGCAAGACAGATCATGCTCTCTCAGTCTCAAATGTCCCTAGACCTAATGGATTTTAAGCTCTAAACAGAGGGGGGTGAAAAGATCCTTATTCTAAATAGTATGATACAGAAATAAAGGGAGGAATAAAAGATTAAAGTAACTCAATGAAAACAATGTAGAGCAGAGCAAGAATGCTTAAATAATTGATTTAGGTAGCAGTCATTGGTGATGCTAAACTCATTATAGGACTGATGGAATTTTACAGATTGTCTGCCATCAACTGCATATTTTAGATCCTGAAAGGTGGGACAGCTATAAATTAAGTCACCTGATGTGATGCAATTCGAACTACACAGTAATATTTATGTGGTGTATTTTTGTCAAAAAATTAAAAGTTGAATTTGAATCTAATGGCGATTTTGGCTCCAATTTCCATGTTATAGGAAATAGAAATAATTAAACACCACCACAAAAAAAGCAACCAGATAAAGCCGGAATGTGGGTCAATGTACAAATAAATGACCTTGTTCCTTCAACAACTTCGAAGTATTAAAAAAGACCAAGGTGCTCTAGATTATAGGAGAGTTAGGAGACATAATCAAATGCAATGATTGGACCTTGGTTAGATTTAAACAAAACAACTGTAAAAAAAATATTTTTGAGAAAATGGAGAAATCTGAATGTGGACTGGGTACATAAGAACATAGCCAAGTGTTAATAAACTATTAATTTTATTATTGTAGTTGACCAAATGGCGCCCCTCAAAAGAATATATATCCACATCCTAATTCCAGGAACCTATCAATATCACCTTATACTATGGGAAAATATGGGACTAAGATTTTTGAGAGGATGATTTGGGGAGGATTAAAGAAATTTTCCTGGATAAACCTCAGCAGGCCCTAAATCCAATGGCAAGTGTCCTTTGTAAGGCAGAGGGAGAAGTAACAGAGACGATGCAGAAAATCGGAAGATACAACGTGACCAGAGACAGAGATCAGAGTGATTGGGCCCACAAGCCGCCAAGGAAGGCCTGGGGGCCCCAGAAGGTGCAAGAGCAAGGAGAGGACTCTTTCCTAGAAACTTCTGAGGGCACGGGGCCCTTTGGACAGCCCTATTCTGACTTCTGGCCTCCAGAACTGTGACGGAATACATTTCCACTAAGTTCACAGAAATTAGTTGTGATAGCCACAGACTATTTTGATATTTTGATTATTTAAGAAAATATCCTTATTTTTTACAGACATGGAGATATTTGGGGATGGAATTAAATGACATGATGCCAGGGACTTGCTTTTCCTTTAAAACACTATAGCAAACTCCCCAGGAGCAAAAGCACACCTCGGCCCATGGCTTAGTTTCTAATATAAAGTCTCCAATATACATTGACTTACAATTTTTTAAAAGACTTTACTTATTTTTAGAGAGGGGGAAAGAGAAAGAGAGGGGGAGAAACATTGACTGGTTGAGTCTAGCGCTGTCCCAGGACCTGGCCTGTGGCCCAGGCATGTGCCCTGAATGGAATCGAACTGGTGACCTTTAGTTTTGCAGGCCATTGCTCAGCCCACTCAGCCACACCAGCCATGGCATGACTTACAATTTTTTGACTTTACGATGGTGTGAAAGTGATATGCATTCGGTAGAAACCATACTTCAAATTTTGAATGTAATCTTTTCCCAGGTTAGTGATATGCAGTATGATACTCTTGTGATATAATTAATTTTAGCTCAGTTCTTCATTCTTTATACCCATAGTGCTTTCAGCTATGTATGTTATGATTAAGACTCATAGACCAGTTTTTCAATTTTTATATAGTATTCAACACTTTGTTGTAAAATAGGGTTTGTGTTAGATGATTTTGCCCAAAATGTTGGCTATGTAAGTGCTCTGAGCACATTTGACGTAGGCTAGGCTAAGCTATGATGTTTGGTAGGTTAGGTATATTAAATGGATTTTCAAATTACAGTATTTTCAACTTATGTTGGGTTTATTGGGACATAACCCCATTGTAACTTGAGAAGCATATGTATCATTCTCTCTCTTTTAGAGAGAAAGGAAAGGAGAAAAAGAGGGAAACATCGATGTGCAAGAGATACATCAATCAGTTGCCTCTGGCACACCCCCAAATGGGGACTGGCCCACAACCCAGGCGTGTGCCCTTATTGGAAACTGAACTGGCTGCCTTTTAGTTCGCAGGCCAGCCCTCAATCCAGAACCACACCAGCCAGGGCAATGTACCGTTCCCATTCAAAAGGAACCACGACTCCTTGCAGAAATGGCTGATTCTAGGACTGGGACAGAAAATATGCAAGATGAGCTTTGACGTATCTGTGATACCAGAAAGGTGTTAAAAAAAACAAACCCACATTTTTGGGAGTATGTCACAGGAGGTAACTCAAAGACCTTCCATACATGTTCTTTGACTACTTCCTTCCCTTTCTTTCCAACCCGCCCCCCGCCTCTGCATCCTTTCTTCTGGCAGCTGTCAGTCTGTTCCCTGTTTCCATGTCTCTGGTTCTATTTTGCTCATTAGTTTATTTTGTTCGTTAGATTACTCTTATAAGTAATACCATATGAAAATTGTTTTTCACCGCCTGGCTTATTTGACTGAGCACAATACTCTCCATCCATGCTGTCACAAAGGTGGAAAAATTAGGACAACTGTAATAGAATACACAAGAATCAAATTTTAAAAATTAAATTAGATCTAGAAAAACTTCCAATGACCAATGCTGAAATAGTGTGAATAAAATTAAATAAAGTAGTAGCAGTTTATAACCCAAAATATAAAACAAATACCCAGAAGGCCCCGGTACAAATAAATGGTTGGTTGTGTTCATGTGGTAAGAAGACAAATCCCCTGTGCAGAAGAATTTGAAATGATGTAGACACCCATTCCTAGAGGAGGGACAGCACTACTCTCCGCTACTTATGTGTGGGCTTCTGAAGGGTGAAATAGCGTAGTGTAAGGGGGTAGGGTAGGGCAAAAGGAAGTTAACAGTAGAAAAAATCTCACAAATACTATTCAGTCAGGTGACCAAGGTCAACATCAATAGTCATGAATCTTGTAGGTAGTATGTGCCCTTTGGGGTTTTTCCTCCCCCAAACCCATAACCCAAGTCTAATCCTGAGAAACATCAGACAAATTCCAATAAAGGGACTTCCTACAAAATACCTGACCGATACTTCTCAAAACTGTCAATGTCATCAAAAACAAGAAACTTCTCAGAAACTGATACAGCCAGAGGAACCTATATAGATAGAGATACTGGTTCGCTAATTGTAACAAATGGCTTAACTCTACTGTCTCCACTTTTCTGTAAATCTAAAACTTTTCTAAAATATAAAGTCTATTTTTAAAAAAAGCTACAGCAACAGAAATTTGTCCAACCCTCCTGAGCCAACTTGATCAGGGGTAACTTCACCAACAACAGGAAAAAGCAACGTCAGCCTCCAGATATTGTCATCACTTATGTAGTATTTCTGCCAAAAATGTATAACATGAATCAAATCACAAAGAAACATCAGATACACCCAAATTGGCCAGTACTCTTCAAAATGTCATAAAAGACAAAGGAATGGTTCTAGAGGCTAAAGAGACATCACAACCAAATACAAGTTGGGATCTTAGGTTGGATCCTGGACCAGGGGAAAAGCTGGTATAAAGAACATCATTGGAATGATTGGCAATACAATGAAACTTCAGTTCTCAAACTTAATTCATTCCAGAAAACTGCTTGAGAAGTAATTTGCTCAAAAACACAATCTTCTGTGTTTGCCACCCGAGAGACACCTGACTGGTCATACAGGTATCAGCATGAAAGGGTTCTTGGGCAGAGAACCAAGACTCAAAGTTTTGTTAGACAATCGAGACATTTTTTTCTGTGAACAACATGGTGGAGAACTGAACTGTTTAAGAACCAAGGCGTTCAAGAAGAGGTTGGACTGCATGTGAATATGAGCTGTAGATTGATTATTTAAAGGTAAAAAGGCATGATATTTACAACTTAAGTCTCAAATGGTTCAGAAAAATATGATAAAACTAATTGTGGCAAACTACTAACAACTAGTTAATGTGGGTGAAGTATGTGTGAGAGTTCTTTGTACTACTGTTACTGTTCTTTAAATTTAAGTCAAAATAGAATGCTTTTTAAACTATAGCAATGACAAAATTGAAAAAGGAATAGGTAGAACCAATGCGGCAAAATGCTGATTAACAGGGCAAATCTGTGGGATTGGGCTTACAGGGGTTTATGCTAATCTCTGTACGTATTTGTGTACATACTTGTGTGTGTTTGAAAACTTTAAGTTACCTCTCCCCCAAGAAAGGGAAAACATACACACACACACACACACACACACACACACACAGCAAAACCAAACACAGCACAAATCCTCAGACCCT